CCTCCCTGCCTGGATGAATCCTTTGTTTGGAAAGGATAGGATAGGAAAGGATAGGACAGGATAGGATGGTGGGAGAGAGGAGGGTATGAGAAAAGAGCCCAAGGGGCCGCATCAGGTCCCCGGGCCTTGGTTTGCCCATATCTGTATTAAACCAATGCCTGTCTTAACTGCAACACCCAAACTGGGAAACAATATAACATGCATTTTGTTCCCGGGTTACAAATGTCACTTCCTACTGGCTGTTAGGAATTGTGGGAGTTGAAGTACATGCCTGCTGTCGAGAGATTTGCACTGGACATGAGACTTAAGTATTCCATAGCATTGATTTCTAAACAATGCAAACTTTATGTTAAGAGCTGTGTGCCTTTCCTAGTTTAAACCTGCATCTAGCAGACTGTAAACAATATAAGATGCAAGCCAGTTTGATCAATAAGGCCCCTCCCCTGCCTTCCAGCCGGCATTTGCACTTCGCACGTGGCCAATTGCTGCAAATCCTAGCCAAATAGCCTGCAAGGAGGAGGCACTGCCGCAAGGCCTAATTGCCTCCGAAGGGAAGCCTATTAAACACACATGAGTATGGCAATTTTCGTAATGATCAAGGGGTTTAGCGCATTTCAGGAAAATACAGGCACTTTAGAAAACGGCTTTGGTTAAATGCCATCATAGCATAAGTATGGAATACAGCAAAACAAACAAGCAAAAACTCAAAACATACATATTTCTTCAAAAACAATTATTATAAAGCAGCATGGCAAGGATCAAACTGCACTGTCTGTCTGGCCAAGTTTCAGAAGCATTCTCTCCTGACATTTTGCCCACATCTAGGGCAGGCATCCTCAGAGGTTGAGGGGTCTGTTGGAAACTAGGAAAATTGGGTTTATATATTTGTGGGATGTCCAGGGTGGGAGAAAAAAAAAACTCTTCTCTGAATGGCCTTGCAGCTTCAAAGCCTAAAATCAGGACAGTAAATAAAGAAAAAACACTCAAAAAGCAGGGGAATTCCAGGCAAGAATCAATCAGGGCCAGCTAACACATCCAAACAAGGGATTGGTAATAGTTTAGTAGCTTGTAAGTGTATTGTTTTAATGTATTGTTGAAAGCTTTCATGGCCAGAATCACTGGGTTGTTGTAGGTTTTTTCGGGCTATATGGCCATGTTCTAGAGGCATTTTCTCCTGACGTTTCGCCTGCATCTATGAAAAATGGATTTATATATCTGTGGAATGACCAGGGTGGGACAAAGGACTCTTGTCTGTTGGAGCTAGGTGTGAATGTTTCAACTGACCACCTTGATGAGCATTTGATGGGCTGGCAGTGCCTGGGGCAATCTTTTGTTGAGAGGTGATTAGATGTGCCTGATTGTTTCCTCTCTGTTGTTTTGCTGTTGTAATTTTTGGGTTTTTTAATACTGGTAGCCAGATTTTGTTCATTTTCATGGTTTCCTCCTTTCTGTTGAAATTGTCCACATTTCTGTGTTCTCAAATAATATGCTGTGTCCATGTTGGTTCATCAGGTGCTCTGCAACAGACAAGAGTTCTTTGTCCCACCCTGGTCATTCCACAGATATATAAACCCAATTTTCCTAGTTCCAACAGACCTCACTGCCTCTGAGGATGCTTGCCATAGATGCAGGCAAAATGTCAGGAGAAAATGCCTCTAGAACATGGCCATATAGCCCGAAAAAACCTACAACAACCTATTGTTTTAATGTTTTAATGTTTTAACTATTATAATTATTGGTTGTTTGTATTTTATTATGTGGCATCGAATTGTGCCAACTGGAAGCCGCCCTGAGTATCCCCTAGGGGAGTGTTCCAAATAAATAAATAAATAATAATAATTCCCCCAGGCAGCAATCAGGCAGGTTTTGAAGCTGCAAGGCCATTCAATGCTAATCAAGGTGGCCAACTGCAATGTTGATACCTGCCTCAAGCAGACAAGAGTTCTTTCTCTGACTTCCAAACAAAGGAGTCCTCCAGGCAGCAATCAGCCAGGCTTTGAAGCTGCAAGACCAGTCAATGCTAATCAAGGTGGACAATTGCAATGTTAACACCTGCCTCAAGCAGACAAGAGTTCTTTCTCCAACTTCCAAACAAAGGATTCCTCCAGGTAGCAATCAGCCAGGCTTTGAAGCTGCAAGGCCATTCAATGCCAATCAAGGCAGCCAATTATTTATTTACATGTTTATTTACGACATTTATATGCCTCCCATCTCACCCCGAAGGGGACTCAGAGATATATACATACAATATATTATATTATTAGCTTAGTACAATATCAATATTACAATATAATGGTATAGTATAGTACAATTCCAAAATACCGTATATACTCTAGTATAAGCAGAGTTTTTCAGCCCTTTTTTAGGCTGAAAAAGTACCCCTTGGTTTATTTATTATTTTACTCTGTTATTATTATTACATTTATTGTTTGATTCTATTATTATTACATTTACATTAATTGTTTTACTCTATTATTGTTATTACATTTAATATTTTACCATATTTATTATTATTACATTTATCATTTTACTCTATTTTTATTATTACATTTATTTTATTCTACTTATTGTTAATATATTTATTGTTTTACTCTATTATTATTACATTTACATATTAAATATTACTATATTGTAATATAGCAATATTATTAATATATTTATTGTTTTACTCTATTATTATTACATTTAAATATTACTATATTGTAATATAGTAACATTATTAATATATTTGTTTTACTCTATTATTATTACATTTAAATATTACTATATTGTAATATAGTAACATTATTAACATATTTATTGTTTTACTCTATTATTATTACATTTACATATTAAATATTACTATATTGTAATATAGTAATATAAATATATATATTGTTTTACTCTATTATTATTACATTTAAATATTAAATATTACTATATTGTACTATACCATTATACTGTAATATTATTAGTAATATTACATGTATTATAAAATATATAATATTACATTTAATATTTTACCCTATTTATTATTATTACATTTATTATTTTACTCTATTTTTATTGTTATTACATTTATTTTACTCTACTTATTGTTAATATATTTATTGTTGTACTCTATTATTATTACATTTAAATATTAAATATTACTATATTGTAATTTTTTTTGTCGTGTCAGGAGTGACTTGAGAAACTGCAAGTCGCTTCTGGTGTGAGAGAATTGGCTGTCTGCAAGGACGTTGCCCAGGGGACACCCGAATGAATTGATGTTTTTATCATCCTTGTGGGAGGCTTCTCCCATGTCCCCGCATGAAGAGCTGGAGCTGATAGAGGGAGCTCAACCGCCTCTCCCCGGATTCAAATAATATCACTATATTATAATATAGTAATATTTAATATTTTAATGTAATAATAACAGAGTAAAACAATAAATATATTAATAATATTACTATACTGTAATATAGTAATATTATTAATATAATTATTGTTTTACTCTATTATTATTACATTTAAATATTAAATATTACTATATTATAATATAGTGATATTATTAATATATTTATTGTTTTACTCTATAATTATTACATTTAAATATTAAATATTACTATATTGTACTGTACCATTATATTGTAATATTATTAGTAATATTACATGTAATATTACTAATAATATTACATGTAATATAATATCATATTATTAGTAGTATTATATTGCATTATATTGTAATAATCTAAATATTCTATGTATATACATATTGCAACATATAATTATATATTTTCTATTACATGTAATATTACTAATATTACATGTAATATAATATCATATTATTATTAGTATTATATTGCATTGCATTATAATAATCTAAATATTATATGTATATACATATTGCAACATATAATTATATATTTTCTATTACATGTAATATTACAAATAATATTACATGTAATATAAATCATATTATTAGTAGTATTATATTGCATTACATTGTAATAATCTAAATAATATATGCATATACATATTGCAACATATAATTATTTTGTTACATGTAATATTACTAATAATATTACATGTAATATAATATCATATTATTAGTAGTATTATATTGCATTGCATTATAATAATCTAAATATTATATGTATATACATATTGCAATATATATATATTATGTTACATGTAATATTACTAATAATATTACATGTAATAAAATATCATATTATTATTAGTATTATATTGCATTGCATTATAATAATCTAAATATTATATGTATATACATATTGCAACATATATATTTTATGTTACATGTAATATTACTAATAATATTACATGTAATATAGTAGTATTATATTGCATTACAATGTAATATATGCATATACATATTGCAACATATAATTATATATTTTCTATTACATGTAATATTACTAATAATATTACATGTAATATAATATCATATTATTAGTAGTATTATATTGCATTATATTGTAATAATCTAAATAATATATGTATATACATATTGCAACATATAATTATATATTTTCTATTACATGTAATATTACTAATAATATTACATGTTATAAAATATCATATTATTATTAGTATTATATAGCATTGCATTATAATAATCTAAATATTATATGTATATACATATTGTAACATTCACACTTGCCTCAAGCAAGAGTTCTTTCTCCCACCCTGGACATTCTATAGATATATCAACCTCACTTGCCTAGTTTCCAACAGACGCTTCAACCTCTGAGGATGCCTGCCATAGATGTGGGCGAAACATCAGGAGAGAATACTCCTGGAACATGGCCATACATACCCAGGAAACTCACAGCAACCCAGTGATTCCGGCCATCAAAGCCTTCGACAACACAATTCAAAACTAACCTTGGAAAATACTAAATCTGGAGCATCAAAGACAAAGTAAGGTCATGTTTTAAATTGCAGAGGAGGAAAAAAGAGAGAGAGAAGACAAGGTAAAATGCTTTTCCTGCCCACCCATCCCAGTTTCCGCTTACCGAGAGATATCATTAAAGCTGAGGAACAGGCGCTGGAGGGAGGGCAAAGTGTCCACATCTTTCTAGAATATGAGAGAGAGAGAGAAAGGGAAGGGGGAAAAAGCCCATCAGACCATTCTTGGAGCGCTCTACTTCTGCTATTTACAGCATCCTCGCTGCGGCACTGTCTGCTCCATCGCTCCGCTGCGGCGCAGGACACGGAGGTCTCCTTGGGAAAAACAGAGCTGTAGGGTTTGCAGGAGAAAGAGTGAAGGGGAAAAGAAAGAGTGGGAGAAAGGAGGAGGAGGAGGCAGATGCTGGGCTTTTTCTGAGCAGGTTGCTTCTCGGAAAGGAGCCAAGGTGCTGCCTCAGCGCTTGAGCTTCAAGGGAGGGGGGGGGGAATGCGCCGCAATCAAACGTCGTGCAAAATAAATCCCGGTTCTGTAGCCCTGTCGCTCTCCAGCGCATCAGAGTGCTAACTCATGCATATAATTGCCCAAGCGGCAGGAACGGCACTACAAGTGGGGGACCTGAAAGTAAGCATTTGGTACTTTGGAGATCTTCCCTTGACTCCCCCATCTATATAAATACAAATGTAATGTTCGTTTGTGGGATTAACATAACTCGAAAACCACTGGACAAATTGACACCAAATTTGGACACAAGACGCCTCTCAGGCCAACGAGTGACCATCACACATAAAAACACAGAAAAACACATCAGAAAGGACTTAAAAGGCCAAAAAACAAACAAAATATTACAACGCATGCACAAAACTATATACACACACACATATATGCGTATACACACACAAAACATACACAGAAAAGAGGAAGGAAGAAGGAGGGAAGGAGAGAATGAAGGAAGGAAGGAAAGAAAGAAAGAAGGGTATAGATGGAAGGAAGGAGAGAAAGAGGGAGAGAAAGAGGGAAGGAGAGAAGGAAAGAAAGAAGGGTATAGATGGATGGAAAGAGGGTGAGAAAGAGGGAAATAGAAGGAAAGAAAGAAAAGGAGAGAAGGAGGGAGAGAAAGAGGGAAGGAAAGAAAGGGTAGTGAAGGAAGGAGGGAAGGAGAGAAGGAAGGAAAGAAAGGGTAGAGAAAGAAGGAGGGAAGGAGATAAAGAAGGAAAGAAAGAAGGGTAGGGAAGGAAAGAAGGAAGGAGAGAAAAGAAAGAAAGAAGGGTAGAAAGAAAGAAGGAAGGAGATAAAGAAGGAAAGAAAGAAGGGTAGAGAAGGAAGGAAAGAGGGTGAGAAAGAGGGAAAGAGAAGGAAAGAAAGAAAGGTAGAGAAGGAGGGAAAGAGGGAAAGGAAAGGGGAAGGAAAAAGAGGGAAGGAAAAAGGGAGGAAGGAGAGAAAGAAAGGAGAGAAAGAAGGAGGGAAGGTTGGCCACAGCAACGTATGGTGGGTACAGCTAGTCTATATAAATAAAAATGTAATGTTCATTTGTGGGATTAACATAACTCAAAAACCCCTAGACGAATTGGCACCAAATTTGGCCACAAGACACCTAATAACCCAAGGAGTGACCATCACTAAAAAAAAATTGATTTTGTCCTTTGGGAGTTATAGTTGCTGGGATTTATAGTTCACCTACAATCAAAGAGCATTCTGAACTCCACCAATGACGAATTGAACCAAACGTGGCACACAGGACTCCCACAACCCACAGAAAACACTACAATGGTTTGGTGGGCATTGACCTTGAGTTTGGGAGTTGTAGTTCACCTACATCAAGACTCAAATAATGATGGATCTGGACCAAACTTGGCACAAATTTTTCATATGCCCAAATATGAACACAGATGGGAGTTTGGGGGGGAAATAGACCTTGACATTTGGGAGTTGTAGTTATTGGGATTTATAGTTCACCTACAATCAAAGAGCATTCTGAACCCCACCAATGATGGAATTGAGCCAAACTTGGCACACAGTTCTCCCATGACCAACAGAAAATACTGGAAGGGTTTGGTGGGCATTGACCTTGAGTTTTGGAGTTGTAGTTCACCTACATCCAGAGACACTGTGGACTCAAACAATGATGGATCTGAACCAAACTTGGCATGGAGACTCAATATGCCCAAATGTGAACACTGGTGGAGTTTGGGGGAAATAGACCTTGACATTTGGGAGTTGTGGTTATTGGGATTTATAGTTCATCTATAATCAAAGAGCATTCTGAACCTCACCAATGACAGAATTGGGCCAAACTTCCCACACAGAACCCCTATGACCAACAGAAAATACTTAAGGCCATCCAGTCCAACTCCCTTCACCAGGGCAAAAAAATATAATCAAAGCCCTCCTGACAAAGCGCCATCCAGCAGAGGGAAGGAAAAAGGGAGGAAGGAGAGAAAGAAAGGAGAGAAAGAAGGAGGGAAGGTTGGCCACAGCAACGTATGGTGGGTACAGCTAGTCTATATAAATAAAAATGTAATGTTCATTTGTGGGATTAACATAACTCAAAAACCCCTAGACGAATTGGCACCAAATTTGGCCACAAGACACCTAATAACCCAAGGAGTGACCATCACTAAAAAAAAATTGATTTTGTCCTTTGGGAGTTATAGTTGCTGGGATTTATAGTTCACCTACAATCAAAGAGCATTCTGAACTCCACCAATGACGAATTGAACCAAACGTGGCACACAGGACTCCCACAACCCACAGAAAACACTACAATGGTTTGGTGGGCATTGACCTTGAGTTTGGGAGTTGTAGTTCACCTACATCAAGACTCAAATAATGATGGATCTGGACCAAACTTGGCACAAATTTTTCATATGCCCAAATATGAACACAGATGGGAGTTTGGGGGGGAAATAGACCTTGACATTTGGGAGTTGTAGTTATTGGGATTTATAGTTCACCTACAATCAAAGAGCATTCTGAACCCCACCAATGATGGAATTGAGCCAAACTTGGCACACAGTTCTCCCATGACCAACAGAAAATACTGGAAGGGTTTGGTGGGCAGTGTCCTTTGGTTTTGGAGTTGTAGTTCACCTACATCCAGAGATCACTGTGGACTCAAACAATGATGGATCTGGACCAAATTTGGCACGAATACTCAATATGCCCAAATGTGAACACTGGTGGATTTGGGGGAAATAGACCTTGACATTTGGGAGTTGTGGTTATTGGGATTTATAGTTCATCTATAATCAAAGAGCATTCTGAACCTCACCAATGACAGAATTGGGCCAAACTTCCCACACAGAACCCCTATGACCAACAGAAAATACTTAAGGCCATCCAGTCCAACTCCCTTCACCAGGGCAAAAAAATATAATCAAAGCCGTCCTGACAAAGCGCCATCCAGCCATAGATATAGATAGATATGATTCACACACACACAGATATAGTATCATAGATGTGAAAGGGACCCCTAAAGAAGGACAATTATATGTTGCATGTTCCAGAGTAGGCAAACCAGACACTCTCCACATCAACACTGACAAAGAAACAGCAAAAAATACTTTACACCCACAAGCATAAAGACATTACATATATTAGAAACCAACACTTCCTCATTTCTTTATTTTCCAGATCACCAGACTGGGCCACAGCAACGCCTGGCAGGGGACGGCTAGTGTGGGATAATAATAATCCAGAGCCCCGGGCCCAAAGAATAACACAAGGACTTTGCTCCCAAATTCCAAAATACTGTATATACTCGAGCTGTTGGAGATGACATAGGCTGCCTGGTAGGCATGGGTAATCCATGGTTCTAAATGGTTCTAAAGTACTTATAAAACTACAGTTCTGGTGGTGAAAACTAGGGGGCGCTAGTGCTTTGCTTCTACAGTGTTGCTAAAGTTCTGGTAGTGAAAATTTCAGAACTATAACAAAATTTTGTTATAAATGGTAATTAATTGTTATTGTTTTAACTCTGAAAGAAGAACCAGGAAAATAAGATTCTGACTATAAATAGATCAGCTGCTATCCTCACATGTTTGCCTTGTTTTTTACTCGTGTTCTATTTTGAAATGGTCATATGACTGGTCAAATCTATATAAATAAAAATGTAATGTTCGTTTGTGGGATTAACATAGCTCAAAAACCACTGGACGAAATTGCCACCAAATTTGGACCCAAGACACCTACTACCCCAAGGAGTGACCATCACTAAAAAAAAATTGATTTTGTCATTTGAGAGTTGCAGTTGCTGGGATTTATAGTTCACCTACAATCAAAAAACTTGGCACACAGAACTCCCATGACCAACAGAAAATTCTGGAAGGGTTTAGTGGGCATTGACCTTGAGTTTTGGAGTTGTAGTTCACCAACATCCAGAGAGCACTGTGGACTCAAACAATGATGGATCTGGACCAAACTTGGCACGAATACTCCATGTGCCCAAATGTTAACACAGATGGAACCTGGGGGAAATAGACCTTGACATTTGGGAGTTGTGGTTACTGAGATTTATAGTTCACCTACAATCAAAGAGCATTCTGAACCCCACAAACGATAGAATTGGAGCAAACTTCCCACATAGAACCCCTATGACCAATAGAAAATACTTAAGTCAATTTGGGAGTTATATTATTATTATTATTATTATTATTATTATTATTATTATTATTATTAAATTGTATTACATGGTATTATAAATATTATATGTATATACAATATATTATATTATATTACATTATATTATTAGTAAAGCACAGGAGACAAGATGGAACTGTCTTCTGCCCCCCTCTCTCTTCACTTTGGCCCAGAGCAGCAGTTGGTGCCGAATATATATGACAGATATAGTATCATAGATTTGAAAGGGACCCCTAAAGAAGGACAATTATATGTTGCATGTTCCAGAGTAGGCAAACCAGACACTCTCCACATCAACATTGACAAAGAAACAGCAAGAAATACCGTTTACACACAAGCATTAAGACATTACATTTATTAGAAACCAACACTTTCTCATTACTTTATTTTCCAGATCACCAGACTGGGCCACAGCAATGCCTGGCAGAGGACGGCTAGTAAATTATTATTATTATTATTATTATTATTATTATTATTATTATTATTATTATTATACTGTGTTATTGATTGTGGCAATGTACAGATATATGGCAAACATTCAATGCCAAAGACACACAACAGATATAGACAGACACTCAGAGGCTATTTAACTTTTCTGGCTGCCAGGGGGAGCTGTTGCTTTCATCGTCCATCTGCGACACTGATGTAGTACTTCCGCATTCCCTGCTGAAATGTTTTGCTGGAGTCTTTTTTTTATGGCCTCGTAAATTAGTTAAATTAGCCTCCCCACACATAGGTGGTACCTAATTTTCCTACTTGTCAGATGCAACTGTCTTTCAGGTTGCAAAGGTTGACAACAAGCTACACAATTGGTCGGAAGCTCACTCCGACCTGAGCTGGCTTCGAACTCATGACCTTTTGGTCAGAAGTGATCTTAATGCAGCTGACACTCAGACAGCTGTGCCACAGTCCCTAATAATAGTAATAGTAATAGTAATAATAATAATAATAATAATAATAATAATAATAATAATAATAAAAATAGTAGCTGGGGATGTTTAGCTTGGAGAAGAGAAGGGGGCATGAAATCCATAGACTCACAGAATCCTGGAGTTGGAAGAGACCTGGTGGGCCATCATCCAGTCCAACCCCATCCTGCCAAGAAGGAGACAATTGCGTTCAAAGCACCCCCAACAGATGGCCATCCAGCCTCTGTCCAAAAGCCTCCAAAGAAGGAGCCTCCCTCCACCACACTTCGGAGCAGAGAGTTCCACTGCTGAACAGCTCTCAGTCAGGAAGTTCGGGGATACACATTTTCTCTCCCGTCCACCATCTCATACTGAACAAGGCCAAACCTTTTGGGATCCAAACATTTCCCATCTTTCCTTCACTTTCTGCCTCTGAATGAGAAGAAGAAGGGGAGAAAAGAGCAGGGATGGCACTTGAGGAGAACCCTCGCCCATCTCAGCCCACCCCACTTCGGCCCACCATATGGGCCCCCAATTTAGAAAGTTTGCCCATGCCTGATTTAAAGTGACGACTGCTGTCTTAAGTTTAACATTACTGTTATTTACACCAAAAAAATATATTCATGCTGGATATAAGCAAAATGATTTGATGCTATAGAAAACCTGCACAAGTTGAAAGGGGTTTTTTTTCCTTTTCAAATCTCTACCATCAATAACGTTCAAAGTACAGCTCGGAAATAAGATTCTGTTCTCTTACCACTGATCTGATCTGATTGTATCGAAGATTGAGTTCGATTAAGGAATCCAGTCCACTGAGGTTTTCAATGTATGTTAAGCAATTCCGGGCGAGATTCAGCACTCTGAGGTCATTCAAGTGGTTGAGATTTTCGACAACAGAAATCTGCCAAAAAGAAGCAGTGAACATTTTAGAAACTAAAACCCTTCCTTCAAGCAATCAGCTTCTAATATTTAGTTATATACTTGGGCAATTAAAAAAGTAAAATAATTAAATGTTGAAGGTTGAGCCTCATAAACATATGCTTGGAAGTAAGAATATTTACGCCCAAATAAAAACAGGATGTAGGATGATTATTATTGGTTGTTGTAGGTTTTTTTCGGGCTGTATGGCCATGTTCTAGAGGCATTCTCTCCTGACGTTTCGCCTGCATCTATGGCAAGCATCCTCAGAGGTTGTGAGGTCTCTTCCAACTCTAGGATTCTAGGATTATACATATATGTCACAACCTCTGAGGATGCTTGCCATAGATGCAAGCGAAATGTCAGGAGAGAATGCCTCTAGAACATGGCCGTACAGCCCGAAAAAACCTACAACAACCAGTGATTCTGGTCATGAAAGCCTTTGACAATATTACTATTATTATTATTTGAAACACAACAAGATGAGTCCACAGCAGACACTATGCTGGCTGCTGTATTGTATTATTATTATTATTATTATTATTATTATTATTATTATTATTATTATTATATTAGATCTCCCTATGGGAGATGGTGGGTGGATATAAAGTATTATTATTATTATTATTATTAGATACAAAACAAGATTAGTACACAGCAAACAGATCACTATGCTGGCTTTTGTATTTGATCACATGTTGGACACTTCCCAAGTGTCTAGCACTGTGATGTATTGGTGAATAATGTTTTCAGATCCAAGTAGGGTGGCCTTTTGCAGCTGACAGGTGGTGATTTTGTTAGCGCCGATTGTTTTTAGGTGCAGGCCAAGGTCTTGAGGTACTGCACCCAGTGTGCTGATCAGCACTGGGACCACCTTTACTGGTTTGTGCCAGAGTCTTTGCAGTTCAATCTTTAAATCCTCATATCGTGTCAG